AAGCAGTTTGTAAAAGCTTTAGATAAACAAGTTAACTGCTTTAAATATCTGTGCGACAAATTTTGCACTTTCTGAAGCTAAAATTAAAGAAGGAATTTTTATAGGCCCTCAAATTCGAACCTTAAAAGCAGATAGATTTTTCCAGAATATGATGACCCAGGATGAATTTGAAGCATGGAGTTCTCTCGTAGAAGTCATAGACGGTTTCCTTGGAAACAACAAGTTTCCAAACTATAAAGACATTGTAGCCAACATGGTGGAAAATTATAGAAAACTGGGGTGTAATATGAGCGTCAAACTTTATTTTCTGGATTGCCACGTTGACTATTTTCCGGAAAATCTTGGAGCTGTCAGCTAGGAACAGGGAGGGAGGTTCCATCAAGATATAAAGGAGATGTAGAGACGTTACCAAGGAAGATGGGATATAAGAATGATGGCTGATTACTGCTGGAGCTTAAAGAGAGACTCGATCACAAAAATCCAAAAAAGAAGGCCACAAAATGCAGTTTTCATGGAAATAGAGAACGGTTTTATTAAAAAAAAAACAAGTAATGTCTAATAAATATTTTTTCAGTATTTTTAGAAGTTTCTATCAAAAATTTCAAACACACTCTTCTTGAAAACCTGATGTGCTGGCAAAACACTAAGTACAGATTCGTGATCAGCACATCCCATTTACTATAGGACAGCTAAAAAATATTTTTTTATGAAAAAACATGTAGGCTCGTGTAACTTTTATTTAAAACATGTGTCTCTAGAATGTATAATAAACCTTTTTTGGGCAAAAAATTATGTTTTTCACTTTCTAAGCTTGTTTTGAAGAAAATACTGACTTGTTCAGAGTTTGATCTTCAACTAAGACTAAGGTTTACTAGTGCTACGTATGGTCAGTGCTGCTATATGGCGTAGAGGGCTGGACACTCAAAACGAGGGATATAAACAGATTAGAAGCTTTCGAAATGTGGCTTTATCGCCGTATCCTAAAAATACCATGGACAGCGAAAATCACAAATATAGATGTCCTTAAAAGAATAAACCAAGAACGCCAACTTTTCGAAACCATCAAGAAAAGGAGGCGTATCTAGGTCACATCATGCGAAATGAAAAATACCAGTTCCTCCAACTTATAATCGAGGGTAAAATTGAAGGCAAGAGAGGAATGGGACGCAAGAAAATGTCCTGGCTCCGAAACATAAGGCAATGGACAGGGATTAACGACATACAATCGCTGATACATATTGCAAGAAATAGAGAATTAATGGAAAATGTGATCGCTAACATACATTAGTGGATTTGCATCTGAAGAAGAAGAAGAAGCTTGTTTAAAATAAAACAAAACAAACTCAGCTGTACGTCTTTACAGAATTTTTCATCAGCTACTTTTCCTATACCGTTCAAATATATGTATAAGATTTTTTCAGGTCTTTTTTCATTGACTGGTGTACATAGCGGAAAGATTTTTGACATTCACGGGCGGACATCACATAATGATTGATCTGGCCGTAACACTGCAAACAAGCAGGCAAGAGGGAACCACATAATTATTTTCCTGAGAGAACACTACAAATGAATAGCGTAAAAAAAGTAGAGATGCCATGCCATCCTGGTAGCGACTGGCGCTGTCCTGATTCCGGATCAGATATTATACAGAACAGGGTTAGATAGCATACCAGCGAAGACTTTAAATGCAATGACCATATATGCTATACTGAAATCTGCAACATGATATGATCATGAATGGTCTGATGAGTGGTGCGAATCAACCTTTATCCCTATCGATAAAAAACCATCGGCGGTTTAAGGTTGGGAAAGAATCTTGGAGGCAGTATGAGCTGCTGATGCTCATACTGCATCCAAGCTGCAGATACGAGTAATGTCCACTATTTACGACGAAAGAGTCGAAGGTTTTAGAAGTAAAACTAAGCTGCAACCAACATAATCCTACTCTCACGTCTTCGAAGCCTTTCGCCGGTTGACAGGCGAGTTTCTTTCGCACAAAAACTGAACTATATCGGCTAAGAGAATACACCTTGACAAAACATTCTGGTCCTCCAGGTTGTTACCGCAAAAAGTAAAAAACCACGAAACCTTTAAATAAGCCTTGAATAATTTGGTCTCAAGGGACGACGACTTAAGCAATGAGAACTTGGAAGATGAGAAGATCGAAGCAGGACTGGCAAGGTTGGAGGCATAGTTTGGAGGAGGGTCAATTTGGGCTGTAGTGCCATTAAAGAGAGAAAAGAAAAAGGTCAATAAGGACATGCAGCAATTAAAGAACCATTGAACTTATTCGTTACGCAAGTAAAATCGTGCTACATATAATCAATGAATGGCTAAAGAACTTTTTACTTCTAGAGATAGCCGAAGAACAATGTGGATTTGTACCAGAAAAATGAACGCTTGAGCTGATATTGAACATTAGACAGATAAGGAAACACAATATTATAATGCTAATCTGTTTCATAGATTATACAAAGACTTTATTATACAAATAAATGGTATCACCCTTCAGAGTTCCCAAAGATTCATATACCTGGGCAGAGAGCTAAATAGTCAACTAGACCACTCAAAAGAAATTGAAAGACGTATTGAAATAGCAAGATCTGGTTTCATGAATATGCGTAAAATGCTCTGTAACCCCAAGCTATGAGTTTCAATAAGATTGAGAACACTAAAGTATTATGTGTGGTCTCTATTTCTATACGGCTTTGAGACCTGGGCATTACAACAGTATGAAGAAGTACTGAGAGTAATGAACATACGCCCTATCTGGTCAATACTATCAAAATTAGAAAGACATCATATCTAGGATACATAATGCGCCATAGGAATTTGAGCAGCTTCAGGTAATAGTAGAAGGCAAGATTGAAGGTAAAAGGGGCATAGAACGAAAGAAAAATCTTGGCTACGAAACATCAAAGATTGGACCCACACAAGAGGAAACGAATTAATTCATCAAGCCCAGAGCCCTGATTCTATTTCATTTGGATGTCGAAATTTAAAAGCGACTACGCCATGACAGTCGCAATCGCAGACTGCAGCTTAGTAATACTTTAAGCATTTTGGGTCTCCTACAGGCATAAACACCCTCCTCAAAATATAGTTCTAATATCCTTATCAAATAATTTGCAGCTTGTTAATTAAGACGGAATTGCTGCCTAACTTGAGCATCACTTAGTGAAAAAGATTTTGAGTATCCCGTAACATTCTTCTTATCCTCCGTTGTGAGCGTCGGATATCTATCATCTCTAATTCCTCCAAAACCAGCAAATGTCCATAAAACGTAGCCATATTAATACTTTTTGCCTCAGTTTTCCTTGCAAGAATCAAACAAAACACAACACTGGCTAAACTGAACCTAATCTCACTTCTCTCAGTCTAGCCAGTCATGGGCCATGGCACATTAATTTCAACTCGAAATGAAATGTCAAACAGAGAAGGCAGATAACAAGAAATACTAAGCTCATATTGGTAAATGCCTTTATTTTTCCAATTGTTACATAAGCAGCTTAAACATGAGCTCTTAAAAATCTTAAACAATCAATAGAAGTAAGATCGAAGCCTTCGAAATTTGGATCTACTAGATTTAAGAGTGTCCTGAATAGAATATAGAACTAACCTGTCAATTCTGGAAGAGCTTTATATAAAGGACAGACTATAAAAAAAGTAAACCGAGCATACCCAAATTACTTCGAGCATACAGCCAATTGAACGAGGACTTTATTTACTTCTATTGGCAGTAGAATGCCAAAGCCTAATAGGAAGATCTCCAATACGATGGACAAACCAAATGAAGACTCTAGTGGAAAAATCCCTACATGAAGTAGTCTATCTGGCACAGTATAGCAGCCAATGGAGCCAATCTGACAATATTTAGAGTGTCACCATGCTCTACCAAGGGCTCAAGTAATAAGAAAGAGGAATCCATCACCGATATCAATTGATTCTATTTTAAATGAAACAAATAAAAAACATTAATCAAAATACCTGCGATATTGGATGCACCATTTTCATTCGTCGTTCCATTACTGCCGTCTATTACTACATTATCCTTTTCTTCCACTAATGAATGTACCACCGCTTCTCCGTACCGGTATCTTTTGCACCTTCATCTTTTGTTTCTGTTGTATTTTGCAGTTCTGTATGCTCTACTTCTACCACCGTCTTATCTTTAACAGTAGTTTCGTCTTTACTCTCAGTTTTCTCTATTTCGTTGTGCTTCTTATGTTTGTGTTTGTTTTTTCTGTCATCATCAAATCGTTGTCCAATATCAATACTATCTTCTTCATTTTCGTCGTCATCATCCTCATCTTCATCTGTTACTTCAGTTACATCATTATCTTTTTTGACAACTTTTGTTTCTTCAGTGTGAACTGTTTCTTTCTCTTTTACCTCATCTACTGTTTTATTGCCAGCATCAAAACGGGAATCTATAGGTGGTCTTACAGGACCAACTTCTTTATGAATTGGAGGTTGTGGAACGTGTGGTCTATATGGTCGATTAAACCAAGGGAAAGGCATTTGTTGATAGAACAATTCTGGGTTCTGCATGTATCTAAAATATAGCATTGGATAGTATTGTTGCAGGAAACTTAGGTACTCGTCTATATGTTCGTCCATGCCGTAAAAAGTGTATTCTGGTCTGAATACTAACTGCCAATATCCACCTCTTTGTTGTCCGTTGTTTCGCAGTAAGTCAACATTATTTATATTGCTTTGTAAAGATAAACCATTGAAAAATTCTGGTCCGTACAGTCTTTGTAAATATATGAGATATTCTGGAGAATATATCTCTTGTAATATTCTCCATGTATCAGTGCCATACATTGCTTGTAATTCTGCTATGTGTTTGTTGCTCAAGTCTTGAAGTTGGAATATGTTACCATCACCTTCTTGATTCCGTACGAGGTCATATCCATTAATTTTTTCTAAAAATCCTGGTACATACATTTGCTGCCAAGCTCGTCCATAGGAATTCCCTTTACCGTAAAGACTGTTCGTTAATATGGGTGCATGGGTATAGCAGTTAACGTTGCATTCAGCGTTGGTATCTTTGACTGTTTGTCAGTACCCTCAGGATAATGTGTCTCCGTTTTTGTTACTCTGTAGTTCGTAGAAGGTCTAGGAGACTTGTAAAATATATTGTCAATTGTTTTTTGTTCTTCATGTGATACATGTTCATTAGACATGTGGTTTTCTTCAGCGAACACTGGGCGATTGTTCGGGTAGCTATTTGGAGGGTATGACATCGGAGGTACTGGTAAAAATTCTCCGTTCATACCATTTTCGTATATGTTTCGTCCTAAAAAAAAAACGATTTAACCTAGGTACATGTAAAAAATTCTAAAATGGGCCTTACCATAGTTATCATAGTACATTTCTTGTTCTGGATAGGGAGCCTTACCATAATTATCATAGTATATTTCTTGTTCTTGATAGGGTGCGTTACCATAATTATCATAGTATATTTTTTGGTCTGTATAGGGGGCATAATTAATTGATCCTTCTTCCTGCATCCCTATACCGGAAGACTCCACTGGATACGTCATCATACCACCAGATTGATAATATCTATTTCGTCCATATTTCGTGTTCTCCATTGACGATGTTTCGTAAGATTCATGTTTTCTTTGACTAAAGGACGATATATATTCTTCAAGCGACTGTTTTAGATCACTTAATTCCTGTCGGGACAGGTTTGGTGGGTCTGGCAAACAAATAGCCCATGCTGTTGCTACTATAAAAAGCAACCTCGTCTGGAAAATAAAATTAATATGTTTACTAAGTACAATAATTAATTATTGTTGAAGCAAAGCTTCTGTACTGGCGTTGCATTACTTTTTTTTCTATAGTAAAATGCTGAGACGTGTGATAGCCTGTATGTGCAGGTTATATGGGAAAATACTAAAAGAAAAATTAGAAAAATCTATCTCAAAATCAGGCCGGATTTGTTGCAAGAAGGTAATGGAAAGACCACATCTTATATACTAAAACGCTAAGCCCTTTTCTTGTCCACCACTTTACTCAAAAACAATATTAGATAATTAAAATATTTTTTCGGAATATTATTAGTATTACGTATAAGATTGTCAAGATATACTTTTGTTACAAAAATTCACTTCCGGTTTTGAGATGACCGGAAGTTAAAATTTACTTTAAGTTTTAGACCCCACAATGTATATATGGATCGAAAGGTCTCGTCGAGACGAATCTAAATATGTACTTCCGGTTGCGATCCGACACTGGAAGTGACCCGAAACGCGCATAAAACGTCAATATAGAGCAAATCTGATTCTAACTCATTCTGATCCGGATTTGGCGTAAACTCATTTGATGGCGTAAAAGTTTACATAACTCTACTCTAACTCATTTACAAAAGGGATTAGGAATGAGGACGATATATGGGATTTATCGTTTTAAAAAAGGCTTATGACACGGTTGCTAGAAAACATTTGTGAAAAACGATGAAAGAAATAGAGATACCTCAGAGGTTAAAAGAAGCTGTTAAAAACAACATTATTCATCAACAGAAGGGCCATAGTTAAAACCGGTAATAAAGGGAGGTAAAGGGGTAAAATTTTACTCCACCTAGCCTTTGCTAGTCAAAAGTGTAGTGAGAACAGACATAAATACGAATGTGCATTTGTCATTACAAAAAGATTAAAAAATATTCATTTTAAGATAATAAAAGAACGAATCTGCTATATCAGACTCAAAGGTAAGAAGTGCAATCTCACGGTATTCTCAATATATGTCCCAACAGAAGATGTCGAACAAGATAGGAACGATGAATTTTCTGGATGATTATAATGCTAAACTAGGTAAGGTGTTTGATAGAAGTAATTGGTAAACATAGCCTACATGACACAGGAAATGATAATAGACACCGGCTAACACAATTTGCAATATCTAATAACGTGATTAATAAATCTACAAAATTTGAAAGGAAAGACATTTACAAGGTCACTTGGGTTTCAAATGATGGAGGAATACGTAACCAAATAGGTCATGTTTTAATTAATGCAAAGGAACAAGGGGACAAGGAAGGAGCCTCCACGAGATCAATAGTGCCACATCAACTGCAAAGTAAACACTATTGACGGCGTCCCCTGGAAACGTCTACTAGTAGACGGCTAATCCTTCCAACACCGTACCAAACCAAATCAGATGGCAAAGATCAAGCCACAACGGTTCTTCTCAGAGCGAACACTGACAGTAGCGAGTATAAATATCGAGGGTATCACTACAGCCAAACAAGACATCTTATCAGAATTCTGCAAGAACACGAAATGTGAGGTATTGTGCATCCAGGAAACCCACAGAGACCTAACTGCAGCGAGACCGAAAGTCTCTGGTATGAAACTGATTGTGGAGATACCACACAATAAGCATGGGAGCGCGGTATTTGTGAGAACTCAAACCATAGTCTCATCTGTGGAAACAACAAATGTACACGATATAGAGATAATAACCACTGAGATCGGAAAATACACAAGAACCTCGGTATACGAGCCCCCAAACCAGTCTTTTATATTTTCACACCCAACTAATTTTCAATCACAAGCCAATCAGCTTGTACTGGGAGACTTTAACACAGTTTACTCTGGGGCTATGCAGATTAGGACGCAAATGGAGACGCAGTAGAAGCATGGGCCGAAACGAGTGGCCTCACGTTAATCCATGATCCTAAACTTCCACCATCTTTTCAGAGCAAAGTTTGGAAAAGAGGATATAACCCGGATATCTGTTTTTTAAGCAACAACCTCGAAGACCGATGTACCAAAGTAGTATATGGCCCCATACCAAAAACTCAGCATAGACCAATTGGTATAAATATCTTTCCAATTGTTAGACCACAAGCTATTCCATTCAGAAGGAGATTTAACTTTAAAAAGGCAAACTGGCAAAAGTATGCAGACATGCTAGATTCTGAACTACTATGCCTTGAACCAAAAGTAGAGAACTACGAAAAATTTGTAGAGATACTCAAAAATGTTTCTAGATAAAACTATCCTTAGAGGATGTAAATAACAATATGTTCCCGGGATGTCCAGCGAGTCCAAAGAACTAATGAGAACATACGAAATCCTCTATTTCACTGACCCTTTTAGCCAAGAAACGGTTGACTGCGGAGCAATACTACTCCAACAGCTAAGTCAAGCCAGACAGGAAAAGTGGATTTAGACCTGGAAAAAATGGACATGACACAAAGTAGCAAAATAGCATAAAACTTTGTAAAAAAACTCAGCGGTGATCCAAAAGAACATAAACCACCTTGCAAGGTTACAGCTAACAAAGTCGCTGCTCAACTCCTTACGAATGGAAGAACTACTAACCGATATAAGGACCCAAACACTAGGAGAAGATTGGATTCGGAGACAAACCACCTAGGAACACCTTTTATATTAAAAGAACTCCACGACGCGCGACGGTCTGAACAGGTTAAAAAACGGGAAATCTGCAGGTGTGGATGATATATGCAGTAAACAAATAAAGCATTTAGACCAAGGAGCAAAAAACTGGATCTTTTTCAAGAAAAAGGAAAAAGGAAAAAAGGCAAAAAAAAGAGAAGATCTAAAGTAATAGACTTGTTAAAACCAGGAAAAGATCCAAAAAACCTCAGTAGCTACAAACCTATTTCGCTATTGTGTTACTTTTTTAAACTATACGAGAGACTGATACTCGCCAGAATAGAAAAAAATGTCGACAAGCACCTTATCCCACAACAAGGAGGATTCAGACCTGGCAAATCTTTCACCGGTCAAGTCCTCGCATTAACAGAACACATTGAAGAGGGCTTTGAAGAAAAACTTATAACAGGGGCTGCTTTTGTAGATCTGACAGCTGCCTATAACACAGTAAGGCACAAAACATTGCTCCGCAAATTATACGACACTCTCAATGACCACCATCTGGGAAAGGTCGTGTATTCCTTACTGCAAAATAAACGTTTTTTCGTTATGCTGGAGGTTAAAGTAAATAGGTGGAGAGTTTAAAAAACGGCCTTCCATAGGGAAGTGTTTTAGCACCAAGACTCTTCAATATATACACAAACGACCAACCTACTCCGATCGAAACCAAGCACTTCCTCTATGGTGACGATCTTGCAATATGTGCTCAAGGAAATAGTTTTGAAGAAGGAGAGGAGAAACTCGAAACTGCCTTAAAAACAATGACAGCGTACTAACTGCAGATTTATCTGAGACCCAATCCCTCTAAAACCCAAGTCTGCGCTTTCCACCTTCGCACAAAGGAAGCCAAGCGAAAACTCCAAATTGTGTGGAATGGTAATACATTAGAACACACAAACCAACCTATATATCTTGGAGTAACTCTGGACCGGTCCTCACCTACAGACAACATTGCATAAAAACAAGAGGGAAAGTAACAACTAGGAACAGCATACTCAGAAAGCTAACGGGAAGTAAATGGGGCGCACGTCCTGGCGTTTTAAGAACAACGGCACAGGTACTGTGTTTCTCAACTACTGAATATGCGTGCCCCATTTGGAGCAGATCTGCGCACACCAAACAAGTTGATACTGCGCTAAATGAGACATGCAGGATAGTAACAGGGTGCATGAAACCAACGCCACTTTCAAATCTTTATAGAGCAGCGGGTTTTGCAGAACCCTCAACACGCAGAGGCGCTGCAGAACCCATAGAGAAAATTAAACAGATCGCGGACGAGCGGCATGCCCTATACAAAGCTCGAACACCACGAAAGCGACTAAAATCTAGGAAAAGCTTCCTTGGAACAGTGCAGGATGAACCGCCTGAGTATTTTCCACTTCCCCAGGTTAAATGGACCTGCAGATCTTAGACTTTAAAATGTGGAAAACCTTGAATAGGATAAGAACGGGGGTCGCTACAGTAAAATCAAACATGGCAAAATGGGGAAAAATAGAAAAAGATGATGTGAACTGTGACTGTGGAGAAACACAGAATATGGAACATCTTCTTACAGACAGAAACTGTCCTCATCGATGTACCCTTGAAGATTTGTGGCTCGCCAACAAAGATGGAACCGACGTAGCCCGATACTGGGCCCGAAATTTCATGAATGACATGTCCGGACACGATAAAGTAAAATATTGATGCAAAACACTCTAGTAGCATTATTAATTCGCGAAGTATGAAAGGAGCAGAAAGCGATAGTGATCACTTTCTGGTGAAATCTGTTAGGGGCCCGAATATTAGTACAGAACCTTGAGCAACAAGAACAAAGAAAAAAGATGGGACATATAAGCCCTTCAAACACCAAATACAGAACAAGATTATCAAGTAGCCAAAAGCAAGAGATTCAAATTGCTGGGTGAGGAAAAGCACAATGTAGACTAAGGACGAGCATGGCAGTGAGTGGCATCAGTTATAGAGCAAGCAGTGAAGAAAACAATTGTAAAAAAGAGGATTCGCCCAAAACAAAAAGGGTTTTACAAAAAATGTAAGGAAACTTTGGAAATAAAAACTCACAAAATATTGAAAAAACCCTACAGATGAGAACAAAGTGTTTCACAGAACAATAGCACAGACAAGGCGTCTACTCAAAAATAAAATAAGAAGTTAAATATAACAGCAAATACGATATGTAGCGAGAGGAG